GGGCTCTCAGCTCAGGGTTGCCATAGACCGTGATCCGCGGCACAGTCGGGCCCCTGCTCCTCCAGCAGGGACCCAACAAGCGGCAGATCCAGGGAGACTCACCTTCCTCCCCCGGGAGGAGCCGCGCGGGAGTGCACCGCAGGGATCTGCGGGGTTTGGAGACTCCACACAGGGTCAGGTGCCAGAGATAGAAATGCGCGGTCACAGGCCGGGTGAGCAGAGAGTGCGGCCAGAGACCGGGGAGACGGGAGTGACTGACGGCTTTTATCTGGGGGCTCACTGAGGAGCGGGGCCCCGAGTTCTTGGCTCCTCTGGAGCAGAGATTGGGAGGCCGCCATTTTCACTCTCGGCCTCCAAGGCTGTACAGAGAGCTTGCAGGGAACAAAAGCTCCCGAGAGCAAACCCGAGCAGATTACTTAGCCAGGACCTGGCAAGGGCGGGGCAATTCCACCTCCGGCAAAGACATTTGGGAACCAGGGCAACAGGCCCCTCCCCCAGAAGATCAGCGAGAACAGCCAGCCAAGACCAAGTTTACCCATCAATGAGAACGGCAGAACTCCAACTGGGGGATACTGCACATAGAATTCATGGCTTTTTTGCCCTGATTCTTTAGTCTTTCAAAGTTAATTTTTTTTTTTTCCCTTTTTCAGCCAACATCCTATCAATCCTTTTTAAAAAATATTTTTTATTTTTCATTTTTAGAGTCATATTCTATCCCTTCATAGTAGTTACCCTTATTTTTGGTATATATATATATAAGTTCTCTCTTTAAAATTTTGAGATACAGTTTCTTCTAACAGATCAAAATATACCCTAAATCTCTAGTGTATGGCTTTGTTCTAGTCTCCTGCCTGATCACATTCTCTCCCTTTCTTTTAAATCCTCTTCTTTCTTTTTTCAACCAACTTCTTATCTTATCAATTCCTTTTATAAAATCTTTTATAATTTTCATTTTTACAGTCATATTCCATCCCTTCATCGTATTAACCCTTATTTTTGTACATATATAAGTTATTCTTTCTTTAAAATTTTGGGAGGCACTTTGTTCTAACAGACCAAAATGCGCCTAAAATCTAGTGTGTGGCACTGATCTATGCATCAGCCTGACCGTATTTGATCATATTATTTTTTTTGTTCTATTTTGTTTTTGTTTGTTTGTTTGTTTGTTTTTTTAAAGATTTTATTTATTTATTTGACAGAGAGAGACACAGCGAGAGAGGGAACACAAGCAGGGGGAGTGGGAGAGGGAGAAGCAGACTCCACACAGAGCAGGGAGCCCGATGTGGGACTCGATCCCAGGATCCTGGGATCATGACCCGAGCCAAAGGCAGTCGCTTAACCGACTAAGCCACCCAGGCGCCCCTTGTTTTTGTGTTTTTATCTTTATCTTTTTTCTTTCCCTTTCTTTTCCCCCAGTTTCAGGTCTTTTCTGATTTATTTCGTGTATATTTTCTGGGGACATTGTTACCCTGTTTGCATTTTGTTCTCTCATTCATCTATTCTCCTCTGGACAAAATGACAAGATGGAAAAAATCACCTCAACAAAAAGAACAAGAGGCAGTACCGACTGCCAGGGACCTAATCAATACGGACATTAGTAAGATGTCAGAACTAGAGTTCAGAATGATGATTTTAAAGATACTAGCTGGGCTTGAAAAAAGCGTGGAAGTTATTAGAGAAACCCTTTCTGGAGAAATAAAAGAACTAAAATCTAAACAAGTCGAAATCAAAAAGGCTATTAGTGAGGTGCAATAAAAAATGGAGGCTCTAACTGCTAGGACAAATGAGGCAGAAGAGAGAATCAGTGAGATAGAAGACCAAATGATGGAAAATAAAGAAGCTGAGAAAAAGAGAGATAAACAACTACTGGATCACGAGGGCAGAATTCGAGAGGTAAGTGATACCATAAGACGAAAGAACATTAGAAGAAATGGGATCCCAGAAGAAGAAGAAAGAGAGAGAGGGGCAGAAGGTATATTGGAGCAAATTATAGCAGAGAACTTCCCTAACTGGGGAAGGAAACAGGCATCAAAATCCAGGAAGCACAGAGAACCCCTCTCACAATCAATAAAAACAGGTCAACACCCCGACATCTAATAGTAAAACTTATGAGTCTCGGAGACAAAGAGAAAATCCTGAAAGCTGCTCGGGAGAAGAGATCTAATGTTTCTACCTACAATGGTAGAAACATTAGATTGGCAGCAGACCTATCCACGGAGACCTGGCAGGCCAGAAAGGACTGGCATGATATATTCAGAGCACTAAATGAGAAAAATATGCAGCCAAGAATACTATATCCAGCTAGGCTGTCAATGAAAATAGAAGGAGAGATAAAAAGCTTCCAGGACAAACAAAAACTAAAGGAATTTGCAAACACGAAACCAGCCCTACAAAAAAATATTGAAAGGGGTCCTCTAAGCAAAGAGAGAGCCCAAAAGCAACATAGACCAGAAAGGAACAGAGACAATATACAGTAACAGTCACCTTACAGGCAATACAATGGCACTAAATTCCTATCTTTCAATAGTTACCCTGAATGTAAATGGGCTAAATGCCCCAATCAAAAGATATGGGTTATCAGATTGGATAAAAATACAAGACCCATCGATATGCTGTCTGCAAGAGACTCATTTGAGACCCAAAGACACCCCCAGATTGAAAGTGAGGGGGTGGAAAACCATTTACCATGCTAATGGACACCAAAAGAAAGCTGGGGTGGCAATCCTTCTATCAGACAAATTAGATTTTAAACCAAAGACTGTAATAAGACATGAGGAAGGACACTATATCCTACTTAAAGGGTCAATCCAACAAGAAGATCTAACAATTGTAAATATCTATGCCCCTAACATGGGAGCAGCCAATTATATAAGGCAATTAATAACAAAAGCAAAGAAACACATCGACAACAATACAATAATAGTGGGGGACTTTAACACCCCCCTCACTGAAATGGACAGATCATCTAAGCAAAAGATCAACAAGGAAATAAAGGCTTTAAATGACACACTGGACCAAATGGACTTCACAGACACATTCAGAACATTCCATCCCAAAGCAAGGGAATACACATTCTTCTCTAGTGCCCATGGAACATTCTCCAGAATAGATCACATCCTAGGTCACAAATCAGGTCTCAACCGCTACCAAAAGATTGGGATCATTCCCTGCCTATTTTCAGACCACAATGCTTTGAAACTAGAACTCAATCACAAGAGGAAAGTTGGAAAGAACTCAAATACATGGAGGCTAAAGAGCATCCTACTAAAGAATGAATGGGTCAGCCAGGAAATTAAAGAAGATTTTAAAAAATTCACAGAAACCAATGAAAATGAAAACACAACTATTCAAAATCTTTGGCATGCAGCAAAGGCAGTCCTGAGAGGAAAGTATATAGCAATACAAGCCTTTCTCAAGAAACAAGAAAGGTCTCAAGTACACAACCTAACCCTACACCTAAAGGAGCTGGAGAAAGAACAGCAAATAAAGCCTAAACCCAGCAGGTGAAGAGAAATAATAAAGATCAGAGCAGAAACCAATGAAATAGAAACCAAAAGAACAGTAGAACAGATCAACGAAACTAGGAGCTGGTACTTTGAAAGAATTAACAAGATTGATAAACCCTGGCCAGACTTATCAAAAAGAAAAGAGAAAGGACCCAAATCAACAAAATCATGAATGAAAGGAGAGATCACAACCAACACCAAAGAAATACAAACAATTAACATATTATGAGCAACTCTATGCCAGCAAATTAGATAACCTGGAAGAAATGGATGCATTCCTAGAGATGTATCAACTACCAAAACTGAAGCAGGAAGAAATAGAAAACCTGAACAGACCTATAACCACTAAGGAAATTGAAGCAGTCATCAAAAATCTCCCAACAAACAAAAGCCCAGGGCCAGATGGCTTCCCAGTTGAATTCTACCAAAAATTGAAAGAATTAATACCTATTCTTCTGAAACTGTTCCAAAAAATAGAAATGGAAGGAAAAACTTCCACATTCGTTATATGAGGCCACCATTACCTTGATCCCCAAACCAAAGACCCCATCAAAAAGGAGAATTACAGACCAATATCCCTGATGAACATAGATGCAAAAATTACTACCAAAATACTAGCCAATAGGATCCAACAGTACATTAAAAGGATTATTCACCACGACCAAGTGGGATTTATCTCTGGGCTGCAAGGTTGGTTCAACATCTGCAAATCAATCAACGTGATACAATACATGAACAAAAGAAAGAACAAGAATCATATGATCCTCTCAATAGATGCAGAAAAAGCATTTGACAAAGTACAGCATCCTTTCTTGATCAAAGCTCTTCAGAGTATAGGGATAGAGGGTACATACCTCAATATCATAAAAGCCATCTATGAAAAACCCACAGCGAATATCATTCTCAATGGGGAAAAACTGAGAGCTTTCCCCCTAAGGTCAGGAACACGGCAGGGATGTCCACTATCACCACTGCTATTCAACATAGTATTAGAAGTCCTAGCCTCAGCAATCAGACAACAAAAAGAAATCAAAGGCACCCGAATCTGCAAAAAAGAAGTCAAACTCTCACTCTTTGCAGATGATATGATACTTTATGTGGACAACCCAAAAGACTCCACCCCAAAACTGCTAGAACTCATACAGGAATTCAGTAAAGTGGCAGGATATAAAATCAATGCACAGAAATCAGTGGTATTCCTATACACCAACAACAAGACAGAAAAAAGAGAAATTAAGGAGTCGATCCCATTACAATTGCACCCAAAACCATAAGATACCTAGGATTAAATCTAACCAAAGAGGCAAAGAATCTGTACTCAGAGAAGTATAAAATACTCATGAAAGAACTGGAGGAAGACACAAAGAAATGGAAAAACATCCCATGCTCATGGATGGAAGAACAAATATTGTGAAGATGTCAATGCTACCTAGAGCAACCTACACATTCAATGCAATCCCCATCAAAATACCATCCATTTTTTTCAAGAAATGGAACAAATAATTCTAAAATTTGTATGGAACCAGAAAAGACCCCAAATGGCCAGAGGAATGTTGAAAAAGAAAAGCAAAGCTGGTGGCATCACAATTCCGGACTTCAAGCTCTATTACAAAGCTGTCATCATCAAGACAGTATGGTACTGACATTAAAAACAGACACATAGATCAATGGAACAGAATGGAGAGCTCAGAAATGGACCCGCAACTCTATGGTCAACTAATCTTTGACAAAGCAGGAAAGAATGTCCAGTGGAAAAAAGTCACTTCAACAAATGGTGTTGGGAAAATTGTACAGCCACATGCAGAAGAATGAAACTGGACCATTTCCTTACACCACACACAAAAACAGACTCAAAATTGTTGAAAGACCTCAATGTGAGACAGGAGTCCATCAAAATCCTAGAAGATAACACAGGCAGCAACCTCTTTGACCTCAGCCGCAGCAACTTCTTCCTAGACACATTGCCAAAGGCAAGGGATGCAAGGGCAAAAATGAACTATTGGGACTTCATCAAGATAAAAAGCTTTTGCACAGCAAAAGAAACAGTCCACAAAACCAAAGACAACCGATAGAATGGGAGAAGATATTTGCAAATGACATATCAGATAAAGGGCTAGTATCCAAAATCTATAAAGAAGTTATCAAACTCAATACCCAAAGAACAAATGATCCAATCAAGAAATGGGCAGAAGACATGAACAGAAATTTTCCAAAGAAGACATCCAAATGGCCAACAGACACATGAAAAAGTGCTCAACATTGCTCGGCATCAGGGAAATCCAAATCAAAACCTCAATGAGATACCCCCTCACACCAGTCAGAATGGTTAAAATTAACAAGTCAGGAAATGACAGATGTTGGCGGGGATGCGGAGAAAGGGGAACCCTCCTACACTGTTGGTGGGAATGCAAGCTGGTGTAGCCACTCTGGAAAACAGTATGGAGGTTCCTCAAAAAGTTGAAAATAGAGCTACCCTACGACCCAGCAATTGCACTACTGGGTATTTACCCCAAAGATACAAATGTAGGGATCCGAAGGGGTATGTGCACCCTGATGTTTATAGCAGCAATGTCCACAATAGCCTAAGTGTGGAAAGAGCCAAGATGCCCACTGACAGATGAATGGATAAAGAAGATGTGGTATATATTTACTATGGAATATTATGCAGCCATTAAAAGGAATGAAATCTTGCCATTTGCAATGACGTGGATGGAACTGGAGGGTTATGCTGAGCGAAATAAGTGAATCAGAGAAAAACATGTATCATATGACCTCACTGATATGAGGAATTCTTTTTTTTTTTTTTTTTAAGATTTTATTTATTTATCAGAGAGAGAGAGATAGAGGCAGGCAGAGGGAGAAGCAGGCTGCTCGCTCAGCAAGGAGCCCGATGTAGGACTCGATCCCAGGACCCTGGGATCATGACCTGAGCTGAAGGCAGACGCTTAACCGACTGAGCCACCCAGGCATCCCGATATGAGGAATTCTTAATCTCAGGAAACAAACTGGGGGTTGCTGTAGTGGTGGGGTGTCGGAGGGATGGGGTGGCTGGGTGATAGACACTGGGAGTGTATGTGCTATGGTGAGTGCTGTGAATTGTGCAAGACAGTTGAATCACAGATCTGTACCTCTGAAACAATATTGAATGTTAAAAAAAAAAGATAGCAGGAGGAGAAGAATGAAGGTGGCAAAACTGGAGGGAGAGTCAAACCATGAGAGACGATGGACTCTGAAAAACAAACTGGGGGTTCTAGAGGGGAGGGGGGTGGGAGAATGGGTTAGCCTGGTGATGGATATTAAAGAGGGCACGTTCTGCATGGAGCACTGGGTGTTATACGCAATGAATCATGGAACACTACATCAAAAACTAATGATGTAATGTATGGTGATTAACATAATAAAAAAATAAAATACTTTCTTTGTTCTCTATTTGTTGAAATATTATCATACCTTTACCTCCAGCATAGTTTCTTTAGTTTTTTTTTTTTAAGATTTTATTTATTTATTTAAGAGAAAGACAGCGAGAGAGGGAACACAAGCAGGGGGAGTGGGAGAGGGAGAAGCAGGCTTCCCGCGGAGCAGGTAGCCCAATGCGAGGCTCTATCCCAGGACCCTGGGATCATGACCTGAGCCGAAGGCAGACGCTTAAGCGACTGAGCCACTCAGGCGCCCCTCTTTCAGTTTTTTAAAAAATTTGTAATAGCTGCTTGGAAGGTTTTTTCTGCTTCCAACATCTGGGTCCACTCAAAGGCAGTTTCTTTCTACTGTTTTGAAATCCCCTTATTTTTGGGACACACTTTTATTTCTCCATACACCTGGGTAGGTTTAGGTAATATAGCAGTTTAGATAACATAGCAGCTCTGCATACTCATCCTCCCCTCTTGCCAGGGCTTTTTAGTGACTCAGCTGGACTATTTAAGTCCATTTACCCTGTACTGCACAGCTTCTGATGCTCTTCTGCAGAGGGTACAGACGGAGTATGTACCATCACTCTGACTTCTCCCTCCAACCCCAAGGACAGTTTTAGGAAGGCTTTTATGGTTTCTTTCCCCAATCTCCTTGTAAGGGTTTTAGTTTGTCTGCCTCCATTGTTATCACACTGTAATTAACATCCACTAATTGTTGGTGGACCTATTATTTTGGACAATGCAGTGGGACACAAATGGCTACACAGTTTGATCCAATTAAATCCAGGTCCTTGTAGTCTCTTTGAGGCTTGTTCTAGACCTAGGACTACTCTAAGCTGCCTATCATTCTGTGTTAGACTTACCACTGGTTTTCCCTTCTGCTTATTGCTATTATGGAGTTACCAGTCTCCTCTTGTCTGTCTCTACTCCCACTCTAAATTTCCTTTGTCTATGGCAGCACCCTTAGGCTTGAACTTAGAGGATCATATAGAAGCTGTTTTTATGGCTTGCTACTGCCTCAGAGTTGGGGATGGGGAGAGTAGCCTGTTTTTCTAGGAGTGATACCTGTGGTCTATAAATAGAGCAGTGGATGATAACTCCTGGTCTTGCTTGCCTTTCCTTGCATGGAACCTCCACTCATAAGCTGGGGCAATAGTGATTAGAAAATAGTATTCTTGGTCTGCCATTCCTGGGGTAGCTCTTCAGTGCTCTAAGTGGGGACTGGGTAGAGGAAGGAAGGTCCAGACATCTTTGCTACTGTTACCTGAAATAGAGCTTCTGTGACATAGAGCTTGGGGGATAGAAGCAGGTAGAATGAGAAATGCTAGCAGTCTGTTCATCCTAGGGAGAAATTGTAGGCTGAAATTGGGAGCTAGGGGGAGAAATGGTGTGGGGTCATGGCTCAAATACCAGAGACTTGCTATTCTTACCAAGCTTTAGTATTTTCTTGAATAAATGTTTCTGTAATAAATGTTTTTATTTGCTATATGGTTTTATGACAATTCCCAAGACTTTAAAAAATATACATATATATTTACCAGTTATGGTTGTTTTCACCAAGGAGTCTGCAGATCATGTTGCCATTCCAGTTGTGCTTCCTGATCATTTATTTTTGAGAGAGAGCATGAAGGAGGGGAGAGGGCACAGATGGAGAAGATCTTAAGCAGAGTCTCCACTGAGAAATGGCTGGATCCCAGGACCCTGAGATCATGACCTGAGCCGAAATCAAGAGTCACAGACTTAACCGACGGAGCCACCCAGGTGCCCCGTCCTGATTATTTTTTAATGCATGTCTTAAAATACAAGCAATCAGAATCCTTTAAATAAGGCAGTATGCTCAAAACCTGAAAAAGCTTTCTGCTGCCATCAGCTGATTCATCATCAACACACAGCCTACAGAATAAATAGGCAGTTCTTTAATAGCTAAATATATTCCAGAAGTAAAGAGTGTTTATAATTCATTTACAAGTGAGTGTGTTACACCAGTAAATGTTGTTTGACCTGCTGTATAAAGTAAATAATGCTATGTAAGAATTAGTCCTGGAATAGTTTGCTGAATTCCTATTTCCAATCCAGTAGATTAAAAACACAACTGTTAATGATATAAAGACGTAGGAATCATATTGTGATAAAATCAACCTCAAAAATAGAGAATCCAGACCCTTGCTGGATAATTTAAGAACTCAGAAGTTTTCCTCAACTTAAACATGACTGCCACACAAAACTGAAGATGTCTTTCAATGCGATGAAACTGTACAAAACTCTAGAACATGACCATTAGATGACCAATGTATAAAAACCAACGGGATTTAGAAAACACATCTAATTCTGAAGTAAGCAGAAATAAAAAGACAATTTACAAAGAATTATAACTAATTTCTAATCATCATCAGAGTCTGAATCATATTTCTTCCCTCGGATAGTTTTCTTTTCCAGCTTTGTGAAGTTTGTTCCAAATTTCTTCTGGCTCTGAAATGGTGGCTCCATTAAATTTCCACTAAAAATAGAGCAAATTTGAAAAGCATTTACTGTTTATGATTTAGCACAGTTGGTATGTTAACCTGCACAAAAATCTCTTTTCTTCCTAACCTATGGAATAGTTTTCTTTAAGATGCTGGTGTCAAGGAAGACCTATATTATTCATACTGATGGTTAAGAGTTTTAAACCCTATTTTGTATTACTAAATGTTTTTGATCCATGTTTTATTTTCTTACCATTAATTACTAACATTTCACAAGACGTACCAACAGATTTTCTGACTGAAAAGCACAGAAGGAAATAAAAGTTTTTCCACCTGTTTTGGATCTGCTGAACTTGGATTAGATCCTTTTCACTATAAGAATGACACAGGAAAATGATTTTTTACAGCTTGTTATGGCTGGTATGATCCTGTTTCACATCTTTTAATGTTTAGACAAACATCAATAAAACTCATGGAATTCATTATCATTAACCTGGAATTGGCATGAAATTTTTCAATGATGCTTAAATAACTGAGACATTTTCTTCTTTCAAAAATATCTAGGAAGATTCCTGGCACCTAGATTCTGGTTTTGAAATATCATTTGGAGGGGGAGACGAACCATGAGAGACTACGGACTCTGAGAAACAAACTGAGGGTTCTAGAGGGGAGGGGTTGGGGGGATGGGTTAGCCTGGTGATGGGTATTGAGGAGGGCACATTCTGCATGGAGCACTGGGTGTTATACGGAAACAATGAATCATGGAACACTACATCAAAAACTAATGATGTAATGTATGGTGATTAAGATAACATAATAAAAAAAAAAGAAATATGTGCCACTGAGAGGAACCACAGTGCCTTGGAGAAATAGTCAATTCTAGGGAGAATCCCTCTAAGACCTCTTATTTGCACCAGAAAGAATGTGCTTAAATAACTATTGGGATGTGTGAAAAGGACATAGAAGCCTGCATGAGAGGGACTCTACTGGTCAAATCTGGGGCAATTTGGGCTTCAAAATAAATATTAGTAGCGAACTATAAGCCACTGGATAAGATAAGCCATTGCCCATTCTAATAAAAATAAATGAAAAAGTAAATTAGTGTGAGATATGGAAAAGTTCTTCTTAAATCACCATTTGGCTTGGTAGGCAACTTGTTAACCAGTGCTCAGTTACCACCACCAGAAATGAGACGAAACATCCTATACCTCCTGCAGTGCTACACTGAGAAGAATACAATATCACTTCTATCATGTACCTGTGAGAAAATGCATAGTCCAAACCTAATCCTGAAACATTAGACAAACCCAAACTGAGGGATGCTCTACAAAATAACTAGCTTGTACTCTTCAAAAATGTCCATGTATTGCAAAATAAGACAAGTTGTCACAGATTAATGGAAACTAAAAATACATAGTAACTACATGAAACATTTTAGTATGCAGGACATTATTGGGACAGTGGTAGAATCTGAGTAAGGTCTGTAAATTATTTAACATTTCCTGTCTTAATCATTGTACTATGGTTACACAGAAAAAGCCCTCATTTTGGAAAATACACAAGGAAATATTTAGGAGTAAAGGAACAATACATCTTCAACTTCCACTCAAATGGTTTTGAAAATAAAATGTATGCATTCAGAAAAAGCATGACAAAGCAAACGTAAAATGTTTAAAATTGAGAGATATGGGCAAAAGATAAATGAAAATTCTTTGTATTAGTTTCCAACTTGTTTAAAGTTTGAAATAATTTCAAAATACATTTAATAAATATTAATATTCTATTTATTATTAAGAAAGTAAAACCTAAAACTCCAAAGTCAATTCCTACAATGTAGGGACAATTTAGGCATGTGTAGGGGAGATTCAGAGAAAAAGGGACAGGGAAAAGAGAACTTTCTACTTATTGAAAAGCACTATGCCTATAGAATGATAATAATTTTATCTGTTAATTTTCCAAATCAAAAACAGGCATAGAAGGCAAGATGATAGGTTCTGATTTATGGAATCAGATAAACTATTTGGCAAAGTGAAGAAGGAGATGAATGAAAAATGGAAGTTGGATTTTAGATTGTTTTCAAATTGAGACTATCTCCACAATAATTTAAGATGATCACAGAAATGAGATTATACATTTTATCATATTCCAGAAGACAGGAATAGCTACATTAAAAAATCTGATGTTCAAAAATAAGTCATCATCAATTTGAATAATCTGGTTTAAATCAGGGAAGAGTCAATTCTGAAATGTCATTTTGGGTTTCCAGACTAATAGAAAATTAGATTCAATAGGATTTGTCAGGATGAAAACTTTTATAGTTAGGTGTACTCCAAGACTCAATTTTATCTGTACCTCTGATTTTGTTGTAAGATCATGCTAATAATGTACACTTTAATATGTTTTTCATTTGTGAAATATTTTCTACATCTCAGCCAGAAGATCTTACTTAGCTCCATAAAATGAATGTTAACATAAAAAAACTTCTCTAAAAATATCAACTGGATATGACATTAAAATCAATGGTTTTGCTAAAAATTACCTGTAACTGAGAATATCGGAACAACCCAGCCTCCATTCTAAAGTTTCTGTGGTGAAGTCATCTGTATTTCCTAGGTCAGTAAATCCAACAACATAATCTTGTGTTTTTCCATCTTTTACCAGTGCTAGTGTGGGAATGACTTTGATACGCAGTCTCTCACAAAGGAAAGGTGCTTTTTCCACATTCAGCTTCAGAAATTTGGTCTCAAGATGTTTCTTGGACAATATCACCAAATGTCGGTCTAATATTTTACACCTATAAATAAAAGCATATGGAAAAATCAAAAGCTAAAACAGATTTTTCATTTTAAAAATAAGTATCATAAAGGTACATTTAATTTGAAGTTCTTCTGCTTGAGTCTCGTAATTTGGCAGCCAGCCTATGCTGGTGTCGATGACCTCATTTCATTTCATAGGTTAGTTAACTGATACGAGAGGCAGAAAATCATCCAGGATTCTAGAAAGTCAGATGTGCCCTAATGATACTTACGGAAAACAAGATACTAAATATACACTTTCAGTCACAAGTAGTTCACGAAGTTGTCATGTTCACGGTAAGAACAAAAAACTGTCATTTTTCTTATGTTTCCTGGTGTCTCATACACAGAGCTTGAAGGGTAATAAATTTGACTTGACAGAACTCAGAAGATACTTTTTAGAATTAGAAATGTACACACAGTGCCATATTTAGAAGTCATTAAGACTGAATGGTGTCACTGAGAAGGAACCTTCTAACTGCAACTAATCATTAAGAAGCATAGGGTCAGGGCTATAACTATGGTCATATGGTTGTAAAGAAATGAAAAATACCAGTAGTAACTTTTATTAAGCCACTTTCTATTGAAAAGAAAAATGGAAATGACATTTTCTGAAAGTTAAAAGGTATTTTAAAGTGGTCGATCCTTTAGTGTTCCTGAAACAGACTACTGTAATAATCTTTTTGAGCAGTTCTTAATCACAGGTGTTCATTAAAGTCAGCTTTTAAAATATATGGATGAACCAAAATTCTCTGGGAGTGGAGCTGGGAAACATGCAGGTGCTTCTCATGCTCTGTAAAGTTTGATAACTACTGCTTTAGATGATAAAGACACCAAATGTTTCATAGTTGTTACTAGTAGGCTTTCTGCATACTTCTTGGTGTAGTTATTCCTGAATTAAGACTGGGTCCAGCAAGTTCCTAGTAACCTTGATGCCTCATCATTATACCTCTGAATGCATCTTTTCATGTATCGCCCATGTAGTATAGCAATGAGATTGTAGTGAAAAATGGTAGGAGAGAACAAGTTAATAAATGGTTCCTGAATGAAACTCTAAAACAAATGATAAATGAACCATTATATGAGAAATATGTTCTTGAAAACTTGTAGGTAAGTCAACTCCATGGTTTTACTGGAGTTATATGGAACCTATTTTAAGTAAATCTATGATTGTACCATTTGTTAATTCATTTTTTTAAAAACCTAGAAGCAGCAGTCACAGTGTAGTTAAAACAGCTTAGGCTTAAATCCTGGGTTCGAATCCTCTTCTGTCATTTAGTAGGTCAGTGACATTAGATGAGTCACTTAATCTCTCCAAGTCTTGGTCTCCATGCATGAAGCATTGGAATTATACCTACCTATCTACCTCAAAGGGTCATTGTGAATGTTCCAGGATTTTATATATGAAATATCCAGTCTACTATGCACCAGGAACTCTGATATCTATTGGATCTACCAATAAAATTTTCTAATGATTTGTTTTTCCTTTTTTTCTATTTTTTAAGCAATCTCTATACCCAACATGGGGCTAAACTCAAGACCCTGAGATCAGAAGTCAGATGTTTTACCAGCTAAGCCAACCAGGCACCTCTTGATTTTTCATTTTTGCTTGAAGATAAGTACTCCTGGTGTTGCACCATTTATACAACCATCAAATATATTTACTGAGCACCTACTATGTGTCAGTCATTGCTGCTCTAGGGGTAGGAACTTGGGAGCATGGTGAGCCACGATACAGGCAAACTCTCTGCTTTCTCAAAACAATCTACTGGCTGGGCAAAAACATCTAATAAACATCAAATGATATCAACCTTAGAGACTCATATGATATTAATGTATCACCTCATCATGTATGTCAAAGGTTGGCAACTGGAGAAATAAATATGTGCCAGTGGGAGAGGACAGAGTACCACGGTGACAGAGGGTTTCTCTGATACCCTTTCTTTTCTAAACCCTTCCCACACTTTCCCTTACAGGGGATTTCACCATCTCAACATTTTCATTTTTATTACCTTAATCAGTAAGTCTGAGGCAATCAATCCCTGTAAGATCTGAATTAACAATTAAGTTACTGGGTGGTGAGTTTAAGACAAGGGCGGAGCAGGCTGTGCAAATGGCAGAAGAGGGCAGGGCTGAGACAGCAGTGAATGATGGAGACTCTACACTGGAGTGTGTGTCTGAGGGAGGTGGCTGCTATTCAGTATTAGCAAACTGCCTTCCTACAGAATTCTAGGTCTGCTATTAGGTTATTTGATTTTTTTAAACATCTGAAATCTGGGTTTTTAAAAAAATTGTTATCTCTCAATTTTTAAAAGTTGGCAACTAATCAAATCTGGGGGTTAAAAGAAAGGCTTAAGTTAAGATATAACTTTTTTTTTAAAGATTTTATTTATTTATTTGACAGAGAGTGAGAAAGCACAGCAGGGGAGCAGCAGGCAGAGGGAGAGGGAGAAGCAGGCTCCCCACCGAGCAGGGAGCCCGATGCGGGGCTTGATCCCAGGACCCTGGGATCATGACCCGAGCTGAAGGCAGCTGCTTAACCGACTGAGCCACCCAGGCGCCCCAAGATATAACCTTTTCTAGGGGTATTTTCATTTTACAAGGACTCTGCCTCTGTAGAGAGGTTTGCAGATCTGGGCTTTCCAAAAGAAATCACCTTCCTCTCCTTCCAGCCAAGCCTGGCACTCCCAATGATGCTTCTAGTCAAAGGCTTGGTCAAACCATTGTCTCCCCATGAGTTGCTGGCTGAGAAGGAGTGAGTGAATTCAAAGCTAGTGTTCAAGGTGTTGGCCCCCACTCCCAACATTGTGTCTATGTCATAATAGTATCAAAAAAAGGAGAAATAATTCTTGTTGTGTTGAAAAAAAAAATTTACATGTACATGTCTTAGATGTTTTTAAAGTTATCTAATGAAAACATAATTCAGAAAATGGCCAGTTCTATGGAAATAATCTCGATTTTTAATAATATTCATTTATACTTTTTTATGTAACAGGTTTTTAAGTTTAATCTTCAGAATAACAATTGTTTAACTTTAACAGAGACTTCTACAGAAATACAAAGACACAACTTAGAAGTAGTTCCTCTAATTTTTAAATTTTCCTATTATGTTAGCATATCTCTACTCAAAGATCTCATCATTTTAAACAAGTCACTGATGGAAACAGTTACCTGAATGTGGAGTCACTGTAGAAATGGCAAACCACTTTTTTACTCTCTTTGACTTCTTGAAAAAAGTCTCTCTCACTAGGGATTTCTCTGTATTCCCCATGTCCTTTTGAAAGCCATTCCTAATTTGGAGAAAAGGGAAATATTACACACTTGAAATATCTTTCAGTACCACTTTACATTTTGTGTCTAAATCGCTATAACATTCTGTAATGAAGTTGATTTTATCTTGTAGAGAAATCAATTCCTCTTAGTGATTTATTTTCCTAGGTCTCTCGTGTCAGTGCAAACACAGTCTGTGGGCAGGGACTATCTTTCAGCACAATTTGTGTTTAAGACAATCATCTGTCTTGGTAACTTCACACATACGTTTTCTCACATCTTTAAAAATAAAAATTTAGACTCCAGAAACTTAAAATGTAAATATCCATTTAATTTCTCTGCATTCAAACTACTAAAATCAGAAGCATTAGGTCCAAGTTAATGCAAAGCTTTGAAAAATAATGCTCATGAGATAAAGCTACTTGGTCTTTGTAGGGAGGGGAAAAGGAGGGGTGGTTACTGCAGCTCTGCAGCTCTGCAGCTCAAGAGCCCTGTTTGCTCAGAGAGGCAGGAACTGCTTCTATCCTGGCCACCAATGGGTAGTATCCTAGGAAGAAAAAAATCACATGATGTCCAGAAATAATACAGATACCACCAGTCATCTAATCCAACTTCTCAACCAATATATCAACCCTTATCAACCGTGCCTGACAGACCTTTCAGTTTCTCAAGCTTCCTGCTACAGGACAGGTTCATTGTCTCAACTGGAAGCTTGCTTCCTTTTTCAGGCAGCTGGTTTTGATAAAAAGGAACATTGGGCTTACAGGCAGAAGGCATGGGCTTGAATAATTGTTCTACCACTTATTAGGCTAAGAATTCTAATAACCTTCCTGAATCTCCATTTCCTCATTTGTAAAGTGGAAATCACAAAGCACAACTCTCTCACTGAGTTGTGAAAGTAAGACTATCAACATGAAAATATCTACAATAATGTCTGGCAAAGGTGCTTAAAAAGAAGGTGCATGTATACTCTAATTTTTTGAAAGGTCTTCCCACACTGAACTGCAATATATCTGTAACTTTGGTCTGTGGATCTCAGCTTGGACCTAAGATTAGAGAGAAAAGTTCTAATGTCTTTCACACGTCAGCCCTTCAGATACCCTATCTCACCTGTATCCTTTCTTCTCTACCTCTCCCTTCATTTTCTTTTGGCTATTTCTCATATGAAATGATCTCTATACTTCTTACTTTCTGATTATCCTCCTCTCAACAGAGACTAATTCCTCCTCATCCTTTTAAAAAGTGGCAGAAGTCTGAATGCAGCCCTCCAGAAGTGGTCCACCGAGAAAGGGGCAGGAGTGCCATCTCCTTTCTTCCTCTGGACTTAAGCTAACACAGACTGTATTAATAGTTTTCATATCCATTTCACATTGGCTTATGCTGAGCTGACGCTCACAGGAGGTGTTTTCTCCTTATGTGACATTTCTTTGGTCAAACTTCTACAAACAATTTAAACTCTCAAATACAGTTCCTTAATGGCATGTAACATTTCATGGCTTTTCTTGACTCACCATTAACATTGCCGTTAAAAAAGAATATTTGTTTTTTAAAAAGCTTTTTGTTATTAATTCTCATATGTTTAACCAACAGGTGGAAGACCTGAACCTTTCCAAACTCCTAAGAGTGAGGCAAGCCTATTCTGAACCTCCACCAACACATGGCATCTCTCCCGACACTCAGCACACCCCTGTGCTCTTAGTACAGTTTCTTTCAGAGTTCATGCTCCACAGGGCCTCTGCTGAATGGAATCAAGCAGGATGGGCAGAGATAACAGTGCAGGCTGAACCTACCAAAGGCCTGGCAGTGGGGCAACATCTAGCTCTCACTTAGTGGTTATCACCCAAGCCTTTGGATGAGCTCTTCCTATTTCTCACCTGTCCTTCTGCTTATTATTATTACGTAAGTCCTATGTCACTAGCTGTCATTAACAGGAAGAGGGTACTCGGCTGACTGAGGAATATTGATTCGCATCAGCCTATTAAGTGCTTATGTCACTGCATATACTGATTTCCTGATACCTAAACAGATCAGTAAATCAAAATTACTATGCAATCTATACTACTCTTTCAAAAAGAGTATATATAAAAACCATTAAAGCTTCTTTTCTACTTCCTTAAACATTTTAATAAAAGAGATCTATTACAATGCAGTGAAAACTCTAAAATAAGATCCTCTCAGTTATTCTATGACAAATTCATTTTAAATTGATTTGCATATTAAAAAAATCCCTAAAGGCTGCAGGACTCAGGTTTTTAATGATAAGTATTCAGTTTATTGTTTTAACTGCTGAGTTTCATTTAAGCCATTATGCATGTTCCTTACTGCAAATCAGGTAGATTCAGTCTTTCTATAAAAACATCCCCCCCAAAAAATAAAATAAAATAAAAATAAAAAAAAAAATAAAAACATCCCAGTTATGACAACTTTTTTAGTTGAACTATTAGCAATTAGTAGTGTTACTTAACTGTGATTGTGAAACAGGAGTTTGTAGCAGAATCTCATCATACATTACCTTAGATAATTATTAGCATTATAATTTAAAAAAGTCTCCTGGCTTCAAAACCATACACACACACACACACACACTGTATTTTAGAAAACCCAAGCTATAAAAATAGAAACTCAGTCACGTTATAAAAGATTCTTTCCTTTTTGTAGCAATTCTTATAAACACTGAGAGTATAAACATTATGAAAGAGATGCTACAGCAGCACAAACAAAACTCCCTGTTTCTTTAGAAAAGTTAAAGCGCATGTTTTATTCACAGCCAACTGAAGAGGAACCAGAATTGATAATAATCTATTTCAATTTGACAAAAAGCAATGAAAAAATTTTTAATCAAAATTAAATTTGCAGGACTTATCCCAATTGGTTTTGATCAGAGTCTATGAGTCTGTTCCACACTTCACACTCTAAGAGACCAACAAGGATAGAGCTGTGGCCACCCTTCTTTGTGACCCAGCATGCATTCCTTTGAATAAACAAGCCATGTAATTGTTACATTGGAAATGCCTGAAATAATTTCTTCAGTGTAAACTGCCTTACAGCTCTCACCTAACTTACACTGATCACAGCTAAAGTATAATCGGCTTTACAATCACATAAAAGGGAAATCATGGACTCCCAGTGCTCTTCCTAGTCCCCTCCCTCCTCAACCAACAAATCTGAGCTCAAAAAATGATCTTGGGCACATGTTTCTTTTACTTGACTGTGGATTAACATACTGAGCAGGCTAGTTTTTAATGTATCTTTAAAACTAATTTTTTCCCCAGCAAATTTTTAACAGTGATAGTACTCTGCAGTAAAAAACAAAAACAACCCTAAAAATAAGGACTGAAATAAAACTACTTCAGCACGTGTATATATAAGTTGTTAGGAGCATACTGTTAAAGTAATTTCAGAAAGCAGGGCAGAGAGGTTACTTGTTTCTGCTGTTGAGATTTCCTTAGAGCCTCAAGTCTCTTTTCTTTGAGACGTTCCAATTCCTCCTCATCCATCTGATCCAGTTTCTGAATTTCAGAATCCAAATGTTCTTCTACTAGTTTGGTAGTCTGAAGCAACTGATTTTCCAGGACTTTTGAAAACATGTCAACAGATGCATTAGCTTCCATTCTTCTAAATGGTATAGTTCAGCCTTGGTGCTAGGGAGAAAGATGGAAAGTTGGGGGGAAAAAAGAGGCAAGTAAAGTTTCCTATCTCATTTACAAAAATTCTAGCAACTGTATAATTTTTCCTCCACAAAGCGTTCTGCTGACAACCAAGCATTTCATGTTACCTTTAAGAATTTTTACTTAAATGTTTTATTATTTTAGAGAGGGAGAGGGAAGGGGAGGAGGGTGAGAGGGAGAATTTTAAGCAGGCTCCACACTCAGTAAGGAGCCCGATTTGGGGCTAGATCTCACAACCCTGAGATCATGACCTGAGCTGAAATCAAGAAACTGACTGAGCCACCCAAACGCCCCTTACTGAAATGTTTTAAAACTGAATTTTCCATAGGTTATAGTCACACCACTCAAAGATTACTTAGAGCAAGGTTTAGGTGCTTCTGATTTAGTTTGTGTTTCATTACAATAGAACAAAGAGGAGTCTTCAAGACCACAGAGAAATGGGTAGTTGGAGTTCTACCTAATGACATATATTAACAGTGTTTCTTTTTTTAAACCAGAAGAAAAATAAAGCAGAAATGACTGAATAATAGTGAAGTTTAACTGTAGTGAGGTTTTACATACATCTACAAAACAAATTTTGCTTCAATACAGAAAAGAGTTGAGCCAAAAATATATTTTTCAAAGTTTCTACTAAATGATTTTCATTTAACTCCTGAGAAAGTGCTTTACAGTTTATGTAAAGAACAGTGCCTGGTGTTCCCTAAACTTTAGTTTTCACTGCTGTTCTCTATGACCTAACAAAATCTATAATGCTACAAAGACTGATACTGGTATGGATCTACTGACACCGTTCTTAACTTTGATGTAAAACAATACCACTCCAAATGTTAAAAATACTGATCCTTTATGTAACACAGGAGTTTAAAAACAGAATCTAATTCAGATAAAATGAAGCTCTTTTCAATTACACATTTTATAAGATGTAGTATTTTCTGTCAGAAACAATCAGATGGAAATTTTATGTATTACTACAGAAATATAATTTATAATTTGCTTATGAAAGCAAGAAGCTGTTGCATTCAAGTAACTACGACACAGTTGCAACCACTACTGAAGAACCTTAAAAAAAAATCTTAATAAACCGTGAACTCACTGACCCAATTACTGACATATAGCCTGGCCCACACAAACCCTCTACAACTGTTGAACTGAAAAGAAGTAGTCTTCTTGCAAACTTCACTTTTGATTCTTTTTTCTTCACAGGAAAAGCAGTTGAAATGCACTGATTTCATCTTTGTATCCCCAGAGCTAGCAGTGCTTGGAACACAGCAAGTGCTCAAAATATATTTGTTAATTTTGGGACGCCTGGGTGGCTGAGTTGGTTAAGTGTCTGCCTTTGGCTCAGGTCATGATCCCAGGGTCCTGGGATCCAGTCCCACATCTGGCTCACTGCTCAGCGTGGAGCCTGCTTCTCCCTCTGCCCCAGCACTCTCTCTCTCTGACAAATAAAAAGAAATCTTTAAAAAAAAATTTGTAATTTTGAATGAACATATGCCTACTTTCTGTTCAAATTATCCTTAAGTTTCAAAAGTATTTGAGTTTAAAAAACCAAATTGTAAGCTCCTCATAAATGCTATACATTTTCAAGGAATTGTATTTCAAATATGATAAAATAATTTCACACTTCCTACCTCCAAAGAAAAATGTCAGTGAGACTGTTTCCCTTAGGGTTGGAGCCGGATGAGGCAGAAAACTGGTTACTGAGACACTGACTTACATGTCAGAACCTGTTCTTCTTACCAGAGGTATAGTGGATGCTGATCCCTGGAGTTTTATGAGATAAACTCAATTTAATTCTGGGATAACTGGGAACAGAAACGAATAACAAGAGCTGTTCTGGAGACAGGTGGTGGTGGTCACCGCATTCACAAAGGGGAGAGGAGATGGTGTAGCGATCCCGATAACTTTTCATTCTTCAAACCACAAACCTGATTCTTCCTCTTTACAGTTCATCGGGAACAGTGGGAAGGGGCTTGTCCTCAAATTACCTAACCGCTTCCTTGACTCCCTTACATGCACCCGCCAAAACAACCTGAACTGCGCTCGAGGTACCTTCCGAAAAGCTTCCTCGCCACTCCCTGAGCCCATAGGGACCGACCAAGGCGGAGTTCAGGTGGCCCCGTGGGCAACAACCCCCGGAGCGCATGCGCCGAAGCCGCCACCGCCTCACTGACACCGACGTCTGGGCCGCGCCCCTCCCCCGCCCTGGCCGGATGTTGAGTGGTGAAGTGTTCATCAGCACCGGGAGGCGGTGGCCAATTTTTTCACACCATCCTCTGCCTCACCTGAGCTCTCGGTGACACCTGAGAAGTGAAGAACTAACTGCTCCAGAAAGGCAGTCCACTCTGGCTTCACCCTCGCAGCAGCTGCCGGTGACTGCGAACCCGCCGTCACTTCCGCCACCCCTTTGGCAGCGGCCCTCACGCGATACAACCTGCGACGCCCGAGGAAGTGGGGCGGGGCGGAGGGCGTGCGTTCGGTGAGCGCTTCTGCGCCTGCGCAGCTCCCATCCTCCACCCGAGATTTCCGATTCTCAGCCTCGTTCTGGATAAACGGCCAACGGGGGAGGGAGCAAAGTATGCTGGAGGTTGTAGTTTATCAGTGCTCAGCCTGGCCGAGTCGGACTTCCTTAGGCTCCGAGCCTAAGTACACGTAATGTTACATCAGAAACGAAAGATAGCTACGATCTTGCTCTGGAGTGACACTCCAACTTCGCTTCCATCGTGTTTAATGAACACATTTTTTTTTTAAGTTGAGGTATAACTTACACAGCATGATTAGTTTTTACATACTTAACACCCGTAGTATCACTGTCCGGATCCAGATATTAAACATGTTTACCACCCTAGTAGGTTGGTTCCCTTTGGACTTCCCTAACACAAATTCTTAGATCTTGCTCTCACTTTGAATGTAAAGATTAATTTCTATTTCGGGGAACTAAGGGATGTGTCCATGTTTTGTTCATGGTAATTATTATTATTTTTTTTAAAGATTATTTATTTATTTATTTGAGAGAGAGAGAACGAGAGAGAGCACATGAGAGGGGGGAGGGTCAGAGGGAGAAGCGACTCCCCGCTGAACAGGGAGCCCGATGCGGGACTCGATCCAGGGACTCCAGGATCATGACCAGAGCCGAAGGCAGTCACTTAACCAACTGAGCCACCTAGGCGCCACATGGTAATTATTTTTTAGAGACTGAACAGACTTCATAATTCATGGACGTTACTGAGAGTCCCAATTTGTCCTAGATTTATTACCTAGAGTGCCTATCACTGGTTCATTGTGTTTCTTTACTGAACTGCGTGCGGCTGAGAATACAAAGACACAGAGGTGGAAGGAAAGCCCAAGGCTTACCTCTGAGCCGAGCTCCAAAACTCTAAGTTTGCGTTCTCCCCAGAGACGGAGCTGACAAGGGGAATTTTCAGCCTCATTGTCTGTCTCAGGGTTCTAGAACCAGGAAACCCCGCTGTTATCCTTGCGCGGCAGACGCTTGCGGAAAGGGGGCGCTCGGGCTCCCGCCTGGCCGGCTGGTCAACTGGAGACGCTCTACCCGAAGCGCAGCTCTCGATGAGCCGCGCCCTGCGTCCCCACGCCGAGGCGGCGGGGCGATGCGCTTGCGCACTGAGAGCTCACACCATATGTGCCCTGTCCCAGTGCGCGGGTCTGTGGAGAGCCGGGTGCGAGAGGCGGCAGTGCGAGGGGAGCCGAGCCGAAAAGAGACCAAAGTCGGCTGGGGGACAGTGGGTCTGTGAGAGACCGAATAGAGGGGCTGGGGCTACGAGCGCCGCTGACACACGATGGGGAAGAAGCAGAAAAACAAGAGCGAAGACAGGTACCCAGTGACTGGGTCCGCACGGTGGCGTCGGGCGCAGCTCAGTGGTTCGCGCGGGTTTCGCCGGCGCGGGGTGGACCGGGGGTGAGGCTCGCGCCCGGCACCACGAGGCACCGGGCCTGGGTCCAGAATGGGCGGCCTGGGGCCAAGACCCCAGTTCCGGGCGGGCGCGGAGGGCCTCGGCGGCGGGCGGGTTCTTCCAGTCGAGGCTTGGTCCCGCCGCTACCCCTCGCCCGGCCTGGGAAGAGGGATCTCTTGCCTGAGGAGCGGGGCAGTGGTTTTGGGGTTCCCTGCCCTACGGGGAGGGACTCGCGTGGCTTCGCTGGGTCGGGGACAGCCTGGCCAGAGTGGCCCCGGCCAGCGTGAGAGTTGTTTTTGTGGCGCTCTTATTGGCGGGGGTCAGGAAGAGTTCTTTCAGTGCCTTTGTACCTGTGAATACTTGAAGAGAGAGGGGAGTTCGAATGAGAGTGTACCTACAGCTCGGTTTTTTAAACTCAGAGCCGCTCAGGTGAGTTGGAGTTACAGGGAGGTGTTTAATAGGTAACCCCCTCTTAACCTCATTTAATTTGGTTACAGTTCCCAATTATTTAAGGTCTGGTTGTCCAGACTCCGTGCTTTTCGCTTTCCTTCTTCCGGCCCGTCTTTTGGTGATTTCTTTGCTCTTTAGCACCTCCCCTTAAGAAAGGAGGAGGAGACGAAACCAACCAACCAGGGTCTCCCCTTTCTAACCACTTGAAAGGCTTTTGGGGGGAAGGAGTGTACGGGTGTATGTGGAGTTACGTACCCCGAGATTTTTGCAACATTTCCGTATGTCACATTCTATTGAATCCTCTTACTTTTCTCATTCAAAGTTTACTCCCTGGGAGTGAACATCTGTTACATTTCACCTTTGTAAACCACTCACCAAACTTAGTTCAAATACTAGGGGAGAGTAAGGTAAATTAAAAAAACAAAACAAAACAAAAACCAAAAGCAACAACCTCTGATAGTTCATTTTGACTTAAAATGGGTACCAGGTCTTGAAGTTAAAGTAAGATTACTAATTATAATTCCTGGATTGTTTGCTCACCTGACACCACTGATGAGTGGAATTAAAAGACACCAAGGTGAGTCTTGTATTTCAGCTACAAATCTATTGGAAGAAGTTAATTGGCTTGCAGACTAGAACTTGTTAATCAGACCAGGTTAATGAGAGAAAATAAGCAGACTTCTGGGTGACTTAGTGGGACAAAAATTTCTCTGCTTTTGGCAGGATGCTTTGACACATAGGATACATTTTTATTCCAACCGTGTACAAAAAGTAGATGAGTATAATAAAGCTTTGTATACTAATTAGCGGGTTTCAACCGTGGTTATCACATGACCATTCGTGTCTGTTCACCTGCTAAGATATTTTAAAGCCATCTCAATCTTCATGTGTTAATCCTTCAGGTGTATCTGAAAGACAAATACTTGAGGGAAAAAGCAACTGCAGATACATCAAGCCTAAGGAATATTAAGAAGGATTTCTTTTTTTTTTTTTTTTAGAGATTTTATTTTTATTTATTTGAGAGAGAGAGAATGAGAGAGAGAGAACACCTGAGAGGGGATAGGGTCAGAGGATGAAGCAGACTCCCTGCCGAGCAGGAAGCCCGATGCGGGACTCGATCCCGGGACTCCGGGATCATGACCCGAGCCGAAGGCAGTCGCTTAACCAACTGAGCCACCCAGGCGCCCCAAAGGATTTCTTAAATATTATTGACTATCCACTCAGTTTTCTAATTTCATTGTCTTATTTTTAAAAAAAAAACATTTTTTTTTTTTTTTGCACTTGGTTGGTTTGGTTCAGGATTACGGAAGTCCCGTTCTTTAGATTAAAAAAAAAAAAATACATGTATACGTTATACTTACGTCTTTTGCTTTCTAAGCTCTTTCATAATGGAATAAAGCTGTTCAGAGGGGAGATACTTACTCTTGTTTATTTTTAGAAAAAAGTGAGTGTTTCTTACTGATTCATAAAGATTTTGGTGAGTGATGTAAAGTGCAAACACTGGAGCCTGTTGTTAAATGATTGGTTTAGTAGTATAGAAAGAATGCTACTACTGGTTTTTTACCCCCGCAGACTAATCTGTGGTCTTACATTTTGGCTCATTTTTTTTTTAAGATTTTATTTATTTATTTATTTATTTGACAGAGAGAGACACACCCAGAGAGGGAACACAAGCCGGGGGAGTGGGAGAGGGAGAAGCAGGCTTCCCGCGGAGTAGGGAGCCCGTTTTGGGGCTCGATCCCAGGATCCTGGGATCATGACCTGAGCCGAAGGCAGCTTAACGACTGAGCCACCCAGGCGCCCCATATTTTGGCTCATTTTGAAGGGAAAGTGGTAGCAATGTAATTGAAAACTTATTTTCTCATATGCCAATGTCAAGTTTTTTTGTTTTTTTTTTTTTCAAGTGCTTCATGGACTCCTTTGCTTGAATGCCTTTCAGATAATGTCTAAGAAATCCCAGGGTTTTGCATAGGTCTGCCTTTGACTGGAACTACTTGGCCTTTTTACTTTGGCATTCTTTGTGAGATGTTTTGGAAGGTAGGAGGACAGGGAAGATATTTGGGGGTGAGGAGTGAGGAGGGTAGCAGGGAAGTTCCACTACTTGTGAATTAGTTTGCTTTGACCTTCTGTATATTTAAATACAATTTCTTCAAGGATTTTTTACATATTTGTAGAAGAAACAAAAACATACACTGGGAAGAAAGTCTAGAAAGAGAGCCCTATTTTAGGATTAATATTCTTGTTTGTGTAAAATGAGATATTTATCTGGTTTTATTCTCTTGTATAAAGATCCCCACTTGTAAAGATTGTACATTCATCCCACCACCCCTTCCCTTTCAAGCTATGCTAAGCTGAACATGTTTCTGGCCAGGTAGAACTGGGTGAGAAATTAGCAGCTGCTTATTAGTTATCAAGATACAGGGAATTGAGTCACTTTTCTGGTTGGAAAGAACAAAAAATACTTTATTGTTTTGATCCTTACTTCCTTATATTTAATCCTTATTTTAACTTCTCAGCCACTCAGTGTTCATTTAAAATTAGGTTTTATTTCATCTGAGTATCTGATTTTATTTGGGTATCAAATACTTTGTTACATCAGTGACTTTTGTTTAAAAACTGAGTTCTCAAATTTTGTTCTCATTCTGAGAAAGAGATTTTTATAAGACATTCAGCAAGTTTTCCTGTCTTTTTTCAGTTGACTGGAGAAACTCTTGATGAGATAAGGGCTAGGATTCAATATCTGTAGGTAATACAAAATATAAGGTCACAGTCAATTCTCACAGTCATCGGTTTACATAATGGGACCTTATGGGATCTTGTGTGTTCTAGTGATGTCCTACTATTTCCGTTTACACAATATGATTGATCTCTCTCTTTTTTTTATTATTATGTTAATCACCATACATTACATCATTAGTTTTTGATGTAGTGTTCCATGATTCATTGTTTGCGTATAACACCCAGTGCTCCATGCAGAACGTGCCCTCTTTAATACCCATCACCAGGCTAACCCATCCTCCCACCCCCTCCCCTCTAGAACCCCCAGTTTGTTTTTCAGAGTCCATTGTCTCTCATGGTTTGTCTCCCCCTCCGATTTCCCCCCCTTCATTCTTCCCCTCCTGCTATCGTCTTTTTTTTTTTAACCTATAATGTATTAAAACAAACAAACAAACAAACAAAAAAAACATATGTATTATTTGTTTCAGAGGTACAGATCTGTGATTCAACAGTCTTACACAATTCACAGTGCTCACCATAGCACATACCCTCCCCAATGTCTATCACCCAGCCACCCCATCCCTCCCACCCCCACCACTCCAACAACCCTCAGTTTATTTCCTGAGATTAAGAATTTCTCATATCAGTGAGATCATATGATACATGTCTTTCTCTGATTGACTTATTTTGCTCAGCATGACACCCTCCAGTTCCATCCACGTTGTTGCAAATGGCAAGATTTCATTCCTTTTGATGGCTGCATAATATTCCATTGTATGATTGATGTTCTCTTACTGATGAGTGTAGAGAAGAAAAGGATCTAGGTTATTTCATTTTTCACAGCCTCCAGTTCTTTATTCTGGTCCCTTTTTTGTTTGTTTGATCCCTTAAGTGTGGTAGTTCTGTTTTTCAGATTATAAGGAAGTTGGTGTGTCACCTTAATAGGATTAATATCCCCCCCCCCAAAAAAAACACAAAAGGATACAGAGGGAAGGAAGATAATTATTTCATCTCTCACCATCAACTATCATTGAGGTGGGGATGTCATTCAGGACCTAGAAGGTCTTTCAGGATTCCGTAGAGTTCTAGGGTATGTTCAGCATTAGGTTATTTTTTGCTGTGGTTCTCTCTACCAGCAGTGAACCAGTATAGTGACTCCACTATTCTTTGTTTTAACTCAGATATTGTTCCTATCATTACTGGCAAATTCCCTGGTTTCTTGAGAGTTCTAGCTATTTCTCAGACAGTTGCCTAACCTTTAGATGGTTAGGAGCCTGCCCGGAAGAAGCTCTGAGTGTAGCAGGTAGTCCAGAGCTTTCCAGAGAGGGAGTTGGCCAAGTGGCATATAGTCTAGCTCAACAAAGGAATTTATTTCTCATTTGTATATACTTGAATTAGTAATAAAAAAACGCCCTTCTGTCTGCATGTATTAGATCAAAAAAGAAAAAAGATGTGTATAATCCAAGAGTTCTCTTGGTTTAGCTTGTTCCTGTACTAATACTTTAGGAAATTAGTATGTGGAGGGAGAAGAGAAGTCCTAGTTTGCCATAAATGAACAAGAAAGCAGATGATAAACTTGTTGTTAGCTTATAGTAACTTTACCTTCTGTAGTGGTGATCTCTGGGGAGCTGATGCAGCTATTTTTGATGTTGCTTGCCCACTAATTGTGCTTTATTCATCTAAGTTTCTTCCATTCTTGCATTTGATCTGTAAGGTGAGCAAAGCATTGTGTAACTGAAGAACTGAGTGTCAGTGGTTAGGGTAGAATAGCAGTTCTCAAACTTTGGTCCTACCACCCCTTTACATTCTTTACTAAGGAACCAAAAAGGTTTTTGTTTTTGTGAGTTATATGGATACTTACTGTATTACAAATTAAAAGTTCTTAAAGTAGTTATTAATTTCAAAATAAAACTAGGGGCTCCTGGCTGGTTCAGTTGGTAGAGCATCCAGCTCTTGATCTTGGGGTTGTAAGTTCAAGCCCCACCTTGGGCAAAGAGTTTACTTAAAATAAATTTAAAAAACTAATAGACATGTTACATATTAACATAAATAGCGTTGTTAAGTAATCGTTTATAAAAAATAATGAGAAGACTGATATTATTAAACAGTTTTGCAAACCTCCTTACTGTCTGGCTTAGTAGAAGAGAACTTGATTCTCCTTTGTGCATTCAGTGTTGTAGCAGTATCACATCATGTGACTTCTGGAAAACTCCACTCTACAGTTGTGAGAAGATGAGAATGAAAAAGTCTCATAGCCTCCTAGTATTATTTTGAAAATACTTTTGATCTCTTGAATTAGTTTAGACCCCCTGAACAGGTCTTGGGGACTACTTTGAGCTGATTTAGGGATTCCTAAACTAGATTTGGGTCTTTTGTGAGATAATTTCCAAGCTCTTTGTCATTAATGTTTGTCTAACAGATAATAGAAATGCTTAAGAAATACTCAAGGACAACTTAAGACATCTGTGGTTGTGTTCATGCTCTTGATATTTTATCCACTTAAGATTCTCTTTTTCAGGGGCGCCTGGGTGGCTCAGTCGTTAAGCGTCTGCCTTCAGCTCAGGTCATGATCCCAGGTCCTGGGATCGAGCCCCACATCGGAGTCCCTGCTCAGCGGGAAGCCTGCTGCTCCCTCTCCCACTCCTCCTGCTTGTATTCCCTCTCTCGCTGTCTCTGTCAGATAAATAAATAAAATCTTAAAAAAAAAAAGATTCTCTTTTTTAATGTAGTAAGGTGAATTTATCAAGTTCTATTAAAAATCTTTTGGGATTGATTTTAATTGGGAATCCCATTAAGTTTTTAGAATATTTAGTACAGTTGTCATCATTGTGGTATCACATATGATTCAAGATATTGTCTGCTTAATCACTTAATTGCCAAGTGTTGTTTTAGATGCTCAAAATATAGTGGTAAACAAATCACTAATAAGACATACTTCTCTATTTGGCTAATTGTAGATCAGTAAAATTTTATTTTTTTCATTTGAGTCTTTAGAATATTTCTTGTCTGGCTTATTCCTAGGTATCTTATAGTTTGGTTGCTGTTAATATAGTAATTTTTCTTTTTTGCTTAATAAGAAAACTTTTAAGATGGTTATCTTGTGTCCACCTTAGTGAACTCTTACTAGAATAGATGTGTAAAGGGTGAGGACTAAATTGTGATTAGATTATTAGTTTGTGATAATAGGTAAATAGTAAAAAGGGGGAGAGCAGGGAGAAAAAGACATTACAGGAGCATTCAAATGTCTTAGTTAGTGACACCCAAATGACTCCTTTTTCTCTTTCTGATTTATGCCCTGTGACAAATATGAACTGTTGAGAAAGTCCAAAATATACAGGTATTTTGAACGCTTATTAAACAGTATTGAAGTAATCACAGTAACACAGCCTGTCCTAGCAGTAACCACAGTATTTATATAATTTTAATGAAAATACTTAATGTAGAACCAATAACCATGTTGTAATTAATTTGAGAATCTAGGAGGAAGGGAAAAGTATAGAGATTTAAGAAATATAATATATAGAAGAGGAAAGTGGGGTTTAACATAATAATGTGCTTGAAGTTTAGAACCTCTCAGCTATTAAGCCAAATCCAACTCTGGAACCTGTGGCTTTTCACTGTGGTATACTAGTTGATTTAAGAAATGTTGATATTCCAAAATACAGACTTTCCAAAGAAAAATTAATATCTGCATAGGATCTTTACTGGTGAAAGAACTATTAAAGATTAAGAACTCAAACAAGGAGGGAGAATAGAAAAATGACAGCCACTGTCTGTAGGTCAATCAGTGCCAAAATTTCTTTAAAGAATTTCTTTCTCCCTTAACCAATTTAATTATGTAACTGCTTGTCTTTCTGTTTAAAATGAAAGCAATGAAGATAGAATGGTTTAGTCCTTCCCATCAGACATGGTATATAAAATTTCAGATATGTTCTTTCAGAGGAATCTCTATTTTTCACCAGGTAGCAGTTATTTTTTAGAATAATTGGTTATCACTCCTCCTTTTGGTGATAGAAATATACTTTCCACTGAAATATAAAATGTTTGTTTGGCTTTTCTATTTCTGAAACTTTATTCAAACCATAAACTTTAGATACCAGTCCCTAAAAATACAGTTGAGTACTGTTTTAAGTCAAATTTATGTCATTAGGTTTCAGGTACTGAGCTTTGGTGAAGCTAAGAGGTATGACTGATGATATTGTAGTTGGCATTTCTTGTAAGTCTAGAATCATGTTCTAAGATTCTATTATAGGAATATACTACATTTTATTTACCCATTCATCAGTTGATGGACATTGGGGTGGTTCTACTTTTTGGCTGTTATGAATCATACTGCTGTAAAAATACCTATACAGGTTTTTGTGTGGACATATGTTTTCAGTTCTTGGGGTTTATACCTAGGAGTGAAATTGTTGGGTCATAGGGTAATATATAGTTTAACTTCTTCAGAAACTGCCAGGCAGTTTCACTTTTTTCAGGAACTGCTAAAGCTTCTGCTCCATTTTACATTCCAGTCAACAATGTGTATTAGAATTCCAGTTTCTCCACATCTTCATCAACACTTATCATCTGACTTTTTGAATTATAGCCATTCTAGTAGGTATGAAGTGGTGTCTTCCTGGGATTTTAGTTTGCATTCCATGATGGCCTAAGATGTTGAGTATGTCCTCATATGTTTATTGGACGTTTGTATATCTTGTTTGGAGAACTGACTATTCAGATCCTTTGCCTATTTTTGAATTGACTTCTTTATTCTTGAGGAATGACTTCTTTTTTTTTTTTTTTAAAGATTTTATTTATTTATTTGAGAGAGAGAATGAGAGACAGCACGAGAGGGAAGAGGGTCAGAGGGAGAAGCAGACCCCCCACCGACCTTTCTTTTTCTTTCTTTCTGTTTCTTTTCTCCTCTCTCTCTCTTTATTTAAAGATTTTAAGTAATCTCTACACCCAATGTGGGGCTTAAACTCAAAACCCTGAGATCAAGAGTTGCATGCTCTACTGACTGAGCCAGCCTGGTGCCCCTGTCCTTTCACTTTCTTTCCTTTTTTTTTTTTTTTTTTTTAAGATTTTATTTATTTGACAGAGAGACACAGCGAGAGAGGGAATACAAGCAGGGGGAGTGGGAGAGGGAGAAGCAGATTCCCCACCGAGCAGGGAGCCCGACGCAGGGCTCAATCCCAGGACCCTGGGATCATGACCCGAGCCGAAGGCAGACGCTTAACGACTGAGCCACCCAGGCGCCCCAGTCCTTTCACTTTGTTGATGGTGTCCTTTGTAGCACAAAAGTTTCTATTTTTTTTAAATTAAGATGTATTATTTGTTGCAGGGGTACAGGTCTGTGATTCATCAGTCTTACGCAATTCACAGCACTCACCATAGCACATACCCTCCCCAATGTCCATCCAAAAGTGTCTAATTTTGATGATGTATGATTTATCTATTTTTTCTTTGGTTGCATGTGATCTAAGAAACTATCACCAAATCCAAAGTCATGAAGATAACTTAATATTAACTAAATATTAATATTTGTGTACAGGTATTTTTCTTTCCAGTGGCTTTATAGTTTTAGCTCTTACAGTTAGATGTTTGAGCTAATTTGAGTTACTTTTTGTTTATTCTGTGAGGTAGGGATCCATCTTCATTTTTTTACATGTAGATATCCAGCCGTCCCAGCACCATTTTTAAAAAAGGCTTTTCTTTTTAATTCCTTGTCAAAATCAATTGACCATATATATAGGGGTTTATTTCTGGGCTCTCAATATTGTTCCATAGATCTTTGTGTCTTTATGGCAGTACCACACTGTCTTGATTGCTGTAGTTTTGTAGTAAGTTTACAGATTGGAAAGTGATTTTTCTAACTTCTTTTTGAGATGGTTTTGGCTATTCTGTGTCCCTTATATTTCCATACAGACGTTAGGAAACACTTTACAATTTCTGCAACAAAAAAGAAGGCAGTTGGGATTTTGATTGGGATTGCATTTCATTTGTAGATCAATTTTGGGAGTATTGCCAATATTATGCCTTCTGATCCATGAATGCAGGATGTCTTTCCACTTATTAGGTCTTCAGGTTCAGCGATTTTTTTTTTTTTTTTTTTTTGGTTACAGTTTTTAGAGTACAATGTTTGCAGTTCTTTTAAAAAAATTATTCCTAAGTATTTAATTCTTTTGTACACTATTGCAAATGGGATTCGTTTCTTAAGTTCATTTTCAGATTGTTCATTACTAGTGCATAGTTTAAATACAATTAATTTTTGTATATTGATTTTTTATCCTGCAATCACACACCCTCATTTATTAACTCTAATGATCTTGTGTGTGTGTTGATTCTGTGGACACGATCATGTCATCTGCAAGTTCAGATGGTTTCTACCTTTTCCAATCTAAATGTCTTTTGCTTCTTTGTCTTGCTGAAAGCTCTGGCTAGATTGTGCAGTACAATGTTGACTAGAAATGGGGAGAGTAGACATTCTTGTCTTGTTTCTGATCTTAAGGGGGAAAAGCTTTCAGTATTTACCCATTAGGTATGATGTTAACTATGTTTTGCCGAGATGCCCTTTTCCAGGTTGAGGAATTTCATTCTCTTCCTAGTTTGTAGTGTTTTTACCATGAAAAAAGTGTTGGATTTTGTTGAATGCTGTTTCTTCATCTACTGAGATGATCACATGGTTTTCTCTTTTTTTTCTGTTTACGTATGTTGTATGTTGAATCATCCTTGCTATTTTGGGATAGATCCCACATGGTGTATAATTCTTATGTTTTTGGATTTGGTTTCCTAGTGTTTTGTTGAGCATTCCATTTTTTCCCTTTTAACCTTTCTATGTAGCTCTTTTGGGTCTGTCTTTCAGTAAACAGTGTTAACATTGAATTTTTATAATAGGACTTGATACCCTATCTTTGAAGGTTTAAAGTCACTTATATTGCTTGTATTAATTATATATTTGACCTTACTTCAGACCTCTATTTTGTCTTCATTTGTACCAGTTCTGCCGTGCTTTATTTCTATTTTCTTCCTTTTATCCTGGGTTAGAATTTATACATGCTATTCTTTTTTTTTTTTTTAAGATTTTATTTATTAGAGAGCACAAGCAGGAGGAGTGGGAGAGGGAGAAGCAGATTCCCCACTGAGCAGGGAGCCTGATGCAGGGCTCAATTCCAGGACCCTGGGATCATGACCTGCGCCAAAGGCAGACGCTTAACCGACTGAGCCACCCAGGTGCCCCTGTTCTTATTTTTAAAAGTGGTTAGATTTGAAATTTTACTTTGCAAAGTCAGTATTTAATGCTCCATAAAACAGTACAAGGACAGTCATGCAACTGTCCAGTATTTTCATTTTATTTTATAATCCTTCACTCAGGTTGGTGACCTTTTACTTAAAGTTGGATACTACTTAAATGCCAGGACTGAACCTAGAAAAAAAATAAGCACGTACTCAGTGGATTTTCAGTTTTCAAGAATTTAAGTCAAAATAATGAAAAGCGATTTCCTTTTTTAGGCATATAAATAGCTAAGAGTCTTAAAGGAATGAAATGTTGGGAAGGCATTTCCTTCCCAGACTCCAGAAATTACGAGACAGAGTAGTAGGCTCCTGATTCATTCCAAAGTTTACTTTCTGTTTATGCAAGTTTGTAATTTTTTTAAATATAGAAATTTAACTGTTTAATATAAAAATTTCAAGCACTCAGAAAAGTTGAAGGAATAGTATAACGAACCCCCATACACTCATCACCTAGATTTAATCATTGCTAGTATTTTGTCCCCATTTTTGTTATATGAACTTTATTTTATAAATACCCTGGCATTTTCTCCCTAAATGTTTTTTTATACAACCACAATAACCCTTATCCCACCTAGTGCAGTTAACACAAATTCTTTAATATTTAATATTCAGTCCATATATCAAATTTCTAGCTGCACAGTGGCTTTTCACAGTGTGTTCAGACCAGGTTGCAGACAAGGTTCACACTGCATTTCATTGTGGTGTAGCTTATAATTTTTAAAATTCACACTTCGTTATAGGTATCTGGCTAAAATTATTTTTTTCTGTGTAATATTTTCTTCATGCTCTCACTGAACTTACTTAGAATTATCAAAATTTGGTTATCTCAGCTTCTTGGTAATATGAAGGGGAATTATTAGACTTATAAGTGGTAACTGCATTCTTTGCTGTTTGGTTTAAAGACAAAATTGTTTTGCAAGCCTACAAACTTAACTACTACTAAATGATGAATAAAGTGTTAAGTTATATTAACTTGCTTTTTTTTTTTTTTTTTTTAAGATTTCTATTTATTTATTCATGAGAGAGAGAGAGAGGCAGAGGGAGAAGCAGGCTCCCAAGGAGCAGGGAACCCGATGTGGGACTCGATCCCAGCACCCCGGGATCATGACCTGAGCCGAAGGCAGACGCTTAACCATCTGAACCACCCAGGCGCCCTAACTTGCTCTTATTGATATGAAATATGTAATCAATTTTGTGAAATTTTTTTGAGGTGAAATTCACATAACATAAAATTAACTATTTTAATTATGTGATTCTGTGGTATTTAATACATTCACAGTGTTATGCAGTCTCTTCTATCTAGTTCCAAAATATTTCATCTCCTTCAAAGGAGATCCTGTACCCATTAGCAGTCACTCCCCATTTCCCCATTCTGTGAGTCCCTGGCAACCACTAATGCATTTTATGTCTTTTGATTGACCCATTCTTGTTATTTCATATAACAGAATCACACATGTATGACCCTTTTTTTTTTTTAAGATGTATTTATTAGAGAGGGAGAGTGTGTGCACATGCAAAATGGGGGAAGGGCAGAGGAAGAGAGAGAATCCCAAGCAGACTCCCACGGGGCCTAGTCTCATGACCCTGAGATCATGACCTGAGCCGAGACCAAGAGTCAGATGCTTAACTGACTGAACCACCCAGGTGCCCCCATATATGACCTTTTATGTCTGGATTCTTTGACGTAGCATAATGTTTTGGAGGTTCTTCCATGTTGTTGAATGTATCAGTACTTCATTTTGTTTTTATAGCTGAATAATATTGTGTGTATATATGCCACATAATGTTCATTTATCCAGTGATGGACATTTTGATTGTTTCCACCTTTTGGCTACTGTGAAAAGTGCTGCTATGAATATTTGTGTACAGGTATTTGAATCCCTGTTTTCAGTTCTCTTGAGTATATACCTAGGCATGGAATTGGTTTGTGGGTCATATGGCAATTCTATGTTTAACTTTTTCAGGAACCACCAGATTTTTTTTTGAGTGTAGTTGACTCACATTAGTACATTAGTTTCAGGTGTACAGCATAGTGATTGGAGAAGTTTATACATAATGCTACACTCACCACAGGCATAGTTACCATCTATCACCATACATCGTTATTACAGTGTCATTGACTCTATTCCTTATGCTGTTTTTTATTCCTTTGACTTATTCATTCCATAACTGGAAACCTGTATGTCCCACTCCCCTTCACCCATTATGCGCATCCCTCCACCCGCTCCTCTCTGGCAACCATCAGTGTGGTCTCCATATTTACAAGTCTGAGTCTGCTTTTTATTTATTCATTCATGTTTCTTTGTTTTGTTTTGTTTTTAGATTCCATGTGAATGTAATCATAGGGTGTTTGTCTTTCTAAATCTGACTTTTTTCACTTACCATAATACCCTTTAGGTCCATCCATGTTGTCATAAATGGCAAGATCTCATCCTTTTTTATGACTGCATAATGTATCATTGTATATATACACCACATCTTCCTTACCCATTTATCAATGACCACTTGGATTACTTCCGTATCTTGGCTATTATAATGTTGCAGTAAATATTGGGGTGCATATATCTTTTTGAATTCGTGTTTTCATTTTCTTTGAATAAATTTCACATAGTGAAATTACTGGATCATATTGTATTTCTATTTTTAATTTTTTGAGGACCCTCTGTAAATTGCACCAATTTACTTTCCAGAGCGCCTGAGTGGCTCAGTTGGTTAAACGTCTGCCTTTGGGGTCCTGGGATGAAGCCCCCCGTCAGGTCCCTGCTTCTTCTCCCACTCCCCCTGCTTGTGCTCTCTGTCAAATAAATAAAATCTTCAGTAATAAAAAAAAAAAAATCTGGTTTTATTCTTTTACATGTAGCTGGCCAGGTTTCCCAAGACCATTTATTGAATAGACTGTCTTTTCCCCATTGTATATTCTTACCTCCTTTGTCCTAGATTAATTGACCATATAAGTGTTGGTTTATTTCTGGGCTCTATGTTCTGTTCCATTGATCTGTATGTCTGTTTTTGTGCCAGTATCATACTGTTTTGATTACTGTAGCTTTGTAGCATATCATGAAATCAGGGATTGTGATATCTACCTTCCCCCCACTCAAGCTTGCTTTGGCTAGTTGGGGTCTTTTGTAGTTCCATATAAATTTTAGTATTATTCTAGTTTTGTGAAAAATGTTTTTGGAAGAATCACCAAACATTTTACAGTGGCTGCAACATTTTACATTTCCACCAGCAATGTAAAAGGGTTCTAATTCCTTTATATCTTTGCCGGTCCTTTTTTTTTTTTTTTTTTTTAAATAGCCATTGTAGTAGTTGTGAAGTGGTGTCCCATTGTAGTTTTGATTTGCATTTCCCTGGTTACTAATGATGAACATCTTTTTTTATGTATTCACTAAAATTTGTATGTCTTGTTTGGACAAATTCTATGTCAGTTCTTTACTCATTTTTTTTTTTTTTAAAGATTTTATTTATTTATTTGAGACAGAGAGAATGAGAGACAGAGAACATGAGAGGGAGGAGGGTCAGAGGGAGAAGCAGACTCCCTGCCGAGCAGGGAGCCCGATGCGGGACTCGATCCCGGGACTCCAGGATCATGACCTGAGCCGAAGGCAGTTGCTTAACCAACTGAGCCACCCACGCGCCCTCTTTACTCATTTTTAAGTTGTATTTTTAAGGTTGAGTTTTAAGAATTCTTTGTATATTCTGGATACTTAACTCTTCTCAGATATATGATTTGTAAATATTTTCCTCCATTATATGGATTATCCATTGTGTTGATAGTGTCCTTTTTACAAAAAATTTTAATTTTGATGAAGTCTAACTTTCCTTTTGTTTTTCTTTTTTGGTCATTGTTGCTTTTACTTTTGCTATCATAGCTAAGAGTATTGCCAAGTCCAAGGTCATGATGATTCACCTGTATGTTTTCTTCTTAAGAGTTCTATTGTTTTAGCTCTGAAATTTAGGTCTTTAGCCCATTTTGTCAATTTTTGTATATGAAGTCAGGGGTTCAATTTCTCTTATATGTGAATATCTAGTACCAGTACCATTTGTTGAAGAGACTGTTGCTTTCACTGTTGATTGGTGTTGGCACTGCTGTCAAGTTTGTTGACCATGGATGAATGGATTTATTTCTGGAATTTTTATTCCTTTGGTTTTGTTGAGCCTTATGCCAGTACCACCTTGTTTTGATTACAGCAGTGTAAATTTTCTTAAATGAAAAATTTCGAACACATAGAAAAGTAGAATAGTTTAATGAACCCATATGTGTCCATCACTCAGCTTCAAATATTACAGATTGATGGATGCCCTTGTTTCATCTATATTCTACCTGCTCTTTTCTTTCTTCATCATTTTTTAAGATTTTATTATTTTAGAGAGAGAGAGTGTGTGTGCATGTGCCCAAGTAGGGAGAGAGGCAGAGGGAGAGGGACAAAGCAGGCTTTGTGCTGAGCGTGGGGCTTGATCCCACAATCCTGAGATCATGACCTGAGCCGAAATCAGGAGTCGACGCTTAACCAACTGAGCCACCTTCACCCCTTTCCTCATCATTTTGAGACAACCTCAGACATTTGCAAATATTTCAGGAGGTTACCTAATCAGTTACAAAAAAATTTTATATCTTAAATTTTAAATAGTGGAGCATTTCAATTCATTTGGAAAAGTCTTCAGGTAAATGAAATGTCATTGCATTTTTCTCTCAGTGGGATTTTTTAACTGTTTGAATTTGTTTCAGAAAATTCAACTTGGAAGTTCTGTGATCAAAATAAATTCAGTAATTGTTATAGTGGTAGCATGGTTTTTATTAAGCTGCTGTGATGAACCTGCCTTCCCTATTGTATGAAAGGGAAGAAGGCAGGTTGCCATTCCAGAATGGGTTGCCATTCCAGAATAGGGTTTTTTCTTTATTTAATACTGTTAAGAATGTATTACATTTCCTGGTCATTATTCGTTGTAGAAGGTAGGGAGGTGAATTGAACATACAAAAAGGAGTTTTCTCAAAGAATCTTATATTTTAATATAGCAAATAGGGCTATATACAGATGATACAGAGGGGAGATGCAGAGAGAATGTGGAGTTTATTTTAAGTAGGGGAGTGCCACCCTCTAGATCGCAAATTTGCCTCCCCAAATTATTATGTATGTGTCTTTCAAATTCCTTTCTAATTAAAACTGTCCTTAGAGCAGGCCAGATTGGAAGGAACAGCAATGTGCTGTATGTTTTGTCTCAAGTACCAGGGTCAGTGACCAAGAATATCCAAGATCTTCATTTGCTTCTCAGTTGCCTAATAATTCTGTACACAGGTGCAGCCAGACCATTCTACTGATGGTGTTCAGCAAGTTGGTTATTGAGAAGTACCCTCTCCTAAGAGTAGTTCCTTGCATAAAAATTTTGTTAATATCTATTTGGTTATGCTGGGTACTACGCAGAGTATATTAGGTGATTAAAGGACCAGACTTACTTGTACAGAACACAAAGACTACAAGTTCACTTTATTTGAGAGAGAGAGAGCGAATGCGTGTGCAGAGCGAGTGCGTGCGCGCGCACACGCCGGGGGGAGGGTGGGGAGCAGCAGAGGGAGAAGCAGGCTCCCCACTGAGCAGGGAGCCTGATGTGGGGCTCCATCCCAGGACCCCAGGATCATGACCTGAGCTGAAGGCAGATGCTTAACTGACTAAGCCATCCAGGCGCCCCTACAAGTTCACTTTCAATGAGTGTTGAATGTGCTCAATTTGAGCAATTATTTTAGATTATAAATTGTGTCCTTTCTTAAGATACTGATTCAGAATGTTGGCCTAAATTATCTATAGCATCTATATATATCTACAGGCATAATATTAGGTATAAACTTGTATTTCTTATGCAAGTATGAGACCCCAAATTCTCGTATCAAATAGAACTGTAGTATTTTCAAAGTTCAGATTTGCTGCATTGACATGAAAGATAACACCGTGTGTTGTTGATTCTAAATTAGTGCTTCTCAAAGTTTAATGTGCATGTGATTCACTTGTGGATCTTGTTAAAAAGGAGATTTTGATTCATTTAGTCTGGGGTGGGACCTGAGATTTTGCATTTCTAAGAAGGTGATATTGAGGGGCACCTGAGTGGCTCAGTTGTTGGGTGTCTGCCTTCGGCTCAGGTCACGATCCCAGAGTTCTGGGATTGAGCCCCACATCGGGCTCCCTGCTCAGCGGAAGCCTGCTTCTCCCCCCTGCTTGTGTTCCCTCTCTCACTACGTCTCTCTCTGTCAAATAAATAAATAAAATCTTTAAAAAAAAAAAAAAAAAGGTGATATTGATGCTGCTTATCCCGGAGTAATTCTTTGAGTAGCAGATCTAAATAGACCATTGTATTGTGAATATATTGCCTCCTATAATGGACTTCTTCTTCTTTTTTTTTTTTTTAAGATTTTATTTATTTGTTAGAGAAAGTGCACAAGCAAAGGGAGAAGCAGGCTCCCCGCTGAGCAGGGAGCCCAATGCAGGACTTGATCCCAGGACTCTGGGATCATGACCTGAGCCGAAGGCAGATGCTTAACCAACTGAGCCACCCAGGCATCCCTATAATGGACTTCTTTTGAGTTCAGCAAGGGCTCAATTTTTCTAGTAAGTTTTTCAGTTTGAACTGATGATTTTAAGCTTTGTATTATAGCACTTTCTGTTGGCAAAATGTTTACATATTAAGTCTGCTCTGATCTTTTTCATCAGAGTTTGTCAAGTGGAAGTTTGTAAACAAAAGCTTAGGCTGCTATTCTGTCAGAGTACAGCATGATAAGTTGGCCATCTGTATGGTTCTGGCATGTTTATCTTAAATCTTTATTATCAAATTGAAATTAAAAATGGATAAAACAAGTTACTGGAGAGAAATTTTAGACTTCTGAAATCACCCACAATCCTGCATCCCATTCCTCACCCGTACCCCCCTCACCCCCATTGAGGGTGCTCACTCCAAAAAAATGCCTTGGACTGATTTAATAGTTAGACACATTGGAATCGATAATATGTATGAACTTAGATTATGTGTATTTGGGGTTCTGCAAGGTGATGCTTGTGTATGTTCTTGTGCTGTCACTTTAACATATCAGGTATTTAGAAAGTGATGAATTAGGCTGAATTTTGTGGAAGGTAGTAAGATGCATTCTGTTTGCATTGCAGTGTACAATGAAAGCAGCAGTATGGTTTCATATACCTTTTAAAGGTGTCAAAACTTAGTTCGGAAGGAAATTATAAGCTGGGAGGGCTTTATTTTTTTTCCTCCCCCAAGGTATGAATAGGTAGCTCTGAATTAATGGGTTGTAGTATATAAGATAGAACTCCATTGAGGGAGTAGGGAGTGAGTGCTTTTGGGAGTTGCTGGTTGTGCCAGAGATGGGAGCTAATGAGGAGCAATGATTATTGGGCTTTTCCTTCTTTTGTCTTGTTTTTCCTCTTTACATATGTAACTGTTGATGATCAAGGAGTGCTGGGTAAGAAGATGTGGAGACTGGAGAAATGCTAAAAAGCATCCTAGGGATAAGGCAGGACTGGGTTTCTCTGCTTCCCTTACTGCTACTAGCACTGGTAGGATAGAGTTAGGAGTAGAGAATGGGATTTCTCCTTATGCTTTTCCTCTTTTTTGTTATTGTTGATAAGAGCTGGGGAGATGAGGGGCACCTGGGTGGTTCAATCGGTTAAGCATCAGACTCTTGGTTTTGGCTCAGGTCATGATCTTATGGTCCTGGGATCGAGCCCTCATTGGCCTTCATGCGGAGTCTGCTTCAGATTCTCCCTCCCCCATGTTTCTCCCTCCCCGCCGCCACCCCTGCTCATGCCCTCTCTCTCTCTCTCTCTCTCAAATAAATAAAATCTTTAAAAAAAAAAAAGAAAGAAAAGCATTGGGGAGATGAGCAGAAACTGAAGTAAAATGAAAAGGGGTAGCAACAGGGTTATGCAACTGTTCCTTTCCTCAGCATTTCCCTCAGTGCTTCAAGATTATGGTTAATTTACAGTTTTCAACTTGGGGGTGAGTAGAGAGGAAGGAGTGTTGTGTTTGGGATTTTACCTCTTTCCATTGATGTGCTTTCCATTTCTTTAGGCCTTAGTATTGATTAGGAATAGGAAGAATATATAGGTGTCCCAGTTATTTTTGCATCATAACCAGTTATTCCAAACTTAGTGGCTTAAAATAATAAAAATCATTATCTCTTGGTTCTGAGGATTGACTGGACTCCGTTAGGTGGGTCTCACTTGGGGTCTCTCATGTGGTTGCAGATGAATGGTGGCTGTGAGGGAGTCATCTTAAAGCCTTCCTCACTTGGCACTTGACTCACTTCTGGTGGATGATGATAGTAGCTCTTGGTGGGGACTTCAGCTGGAACATCTGTATTTGATCTCTGTGTGGTCTGGACATGCTCATTAGCTTGGCAGTGAGTAACTCAAAAGTCAGGAAGTAGATGCTACCAGGAAAAGGCATGGGCCCAGGAACTATAGCATCATTTCTGCCATAGTCTGTTGATCATTCACACAGCCCCATGTTAAAGTGAAGGTGACAGACCCCCATTTCTCAGTGTCGGAGAAATTTTGAGCCAGGTTGTAAAACATCCACAGGGGGTAGAGAGGCACTGGGGAAGAGGGCTTGGTAGGAGAAAGTCTTAGGAAGCTTGAAGATTTTGAATTGTGGAATAGTTTGGCAAGATTTGCATTTTCTATGTTTTTGTCTAACTTTACATTAGACTTTTCAGTGGAAAATGCCTGTCATTATTAAATTTGCCAAATTTGGAATTGAAATTTGCACATAAGGTTAATTTTCCTTTTACTTTATTTCAGTGAACTCCTTTTGGGTAATGTTTTATGTCTTCAAGAGGCTTTATTATATTGATCTCAAAGTGAAGTATGTTTTATTTTTATATTTGATATTTATTCCAAAAAGCCAAATACCAAAGTTGAGTATATGCCTGCACACACAGTTAATAAAGAAATACCATGTTTTAAAAATTTATTTATTTTAGAGAAAGGGAGAGAGTGAGTGAGCATGAGCAAGAAGGGGCAGAGGGAGAAGGAGATAGACTCTCAAGTGAATTCGGTGCTGAGCGTAGAGCCCAGTGCCAGGCTCCATCTCAGAACCCTGAGATCATGATCCTGAGATCATAACCCGAGCTGAAGCAAGAGTCAGATGCTTAACTGACTGAGCCAGCCAGACTCCCCAAGAAATACCATGTTTTTAAAAGATTCCTTTATAGTAATATCATTTTA